AAGATCCGCATAGTTAAAACAATGGTATTCCCCGTAGTCATCTACAGATCTGAGAGCTGGACCTTAGGGAAGTCTAAGAGAAGGAAGATAGATGCTTTTGAACTGTGGTGTTGGAGGAAAGTTCTGAGAGTGCCTTGGACCATGAGAAGATACAACCAGTCCATACTTCAGGAAATAAAGCCCAACTGCTCACTGGAGAGAAGGATATTAGAGGCAAAGTTGAAGTACTTCAGCTACATCATGAGAAGAAAGGAAAGCTTAGAGAAGACAATGATGCTGGGGAAAATGGAAGACGGGCTGACCAAGGGCAAGATGGATGGATGGCATCCTTGAAGTGACTGGATTGGCCTTGAAGTAGCTGGGGGTGGTGACAGCCAACAGGGAGCTCTGCCGTGGGCTGGTCCATGAGGTCACAAAGAGTCGGAAATGACTGAATGAATGAACAACAACCTACCCACTGCAGGAATTTTGGTAAGATGATTGCTAAATTCTTCTAACATTATCTCCATGTTTCCTTCCCATCCTGTTAACAACTTGTCTACAAGTTCTGGCTCTTCTGCTTTCCAGTATTGCACCAGTTTCTAGAAAGGTAAAGCTTAACATGAGAAGGAGTTACACAGTAAATTTCACAGGGAATTAAGGGGTCATGGTGTGATAAAACGTAATCTTTAATCATCTTGTTTGAATTGCTTTTCATCCATATTACCTGGACTGTTTAGGACTAAGGATAAACATCCATTGAAATTTACACTGATCATACCCAATAAGCTTCCATATTGTCAGTACACTAGATGAGTGTTTTTTGGCTAGAAATGTACATTCTAAAGATTGGCTTGATTACTTTAGGAAGAGAAAGATTAGGGTGCTTTATAAAACTTAAAATATGTTACATAAAGAACTCTGTTACACCCAACAAACTGACAGCTGCTAATCTGATTTATAGTACCAGCCGCAATTTCACTATAAAATCGGAGTAGCGGTTTTTCACTCGCAAACCAGAACAGTACATTAAAATATTGCATATTTTGAAAGGAAAGCTTCATTATCACAAAATAGATCACAGGTACCATTGGTTTCCATCCAGTCTCTAGAATTGCTACACATATTTGCATCCAGGTGCCATCATTCAACAGCATGTATGTAATTGAACAAACCTTACACATTCAAACACCCATTTCTAAGGGCCTGTGAAATCCTCTGCATTTAACTGCCAAACTAGAAGTTCTTCAGACCCTTGGTGATACCAACACAACCCATTGGCATCATGATAACTAACAACATCACTAAGAATAAAGGCTTTCAAAGCAGTTTCTGGGTCAACAAAATACTGTGTTGGCTTTGTAACGGGCCAGCCCCCTTCAACCTTAAAAGAATGACAGACCCACAGGCTCCGACAAACATTCTCCCCTATTGTAATGGCAGACAAGTTAAGAGAAAGTGAACTCCCAGCATCAGGATCATTCAGAATCTCTGCACAATGTCACTAAAGCTCCCCAGGGCCTATTGAGATGCTCCAGATGTGCCCATTGTACCAAACTAAACTGTCCGAAGATTATTTGTGTTCAACAAATACTATTAGCCTCTTTCTCATGCTTGTTGGTTCTTTTCCATTATGGTTGATCTCATTCAGAGGCAAATATTCTAATTTTCTGAGAAACGATAAAATTCCATATGCCAAAGACATGATAAACAATATGGAAAGTGAAATCGGTATAACTACATTCTCATTGGCCCATTGTTTCTTACCTTTAATTATCCTTGTCATTTTTTGGACTTTGTTTTAATTTATGGTAACATCAATAGTCTCTTCCATAATGAAAAACACGTAAGATTCCCAAGGAAGTATAAATGCTTGAGTACTTACCTAATGGTGGCACTAGAAAAGACTGGACAACCTATAGACACCCTTTTATGAATGTTGTACACTAACCGCATTCTGAAATGTAGGGAATGTGGAGAAGCGTTCATCCCGCTAATCTAGTATGAATCAGTATTTGATGGATCCAAGGGTGGTTGCTCTAAATGCCTCAAAGCCTGTCACTTCTTAGAACTTTGTGTACCTTTGCAGGTTGATCTGCTCTCACTACTTGAGAATCACTGTGTGAAATTTCACAGACCAGAATGCAGTTGAGAAAACTTTTATTCTCCAAATATTTTACACTAAAAACCCCACCATCCCTGCTGGCAGGAATGTATGAGAGTTGAAATCCAGAAGATCTGGAGTGTTAAAAGCTCACCTCAGAAGATCTGTGGGACATAATGTATTTTGGAAGACCTCTTCAGAAGTTTTATCTACACATTTTAGATTTTGCTTTCAAAACAGAGGCAGACAACTCATGGCAGTCCAGGGGATGCTGAACTGCCACTCCTATCAATTCTAGTCAGCATAGTCAACAGAATGGGCTGATGAAAATGGTGGTCCATAACCACTGATGGGCCATCACTACTTCAGAACGCAATGTTTGGTTACACAATTTTAGCAAATATTTTAACAAATATTATGTAAGATACTGTCTAAAGCCAAATTTGCATGTAAATCCATACGAGTAAAAGACCAGTTCAAAAATTCCCATTAAACTATCTGTGCCTGCACACCTACGCAAGGAATCTGTGATCCAAAAGATGAACCTTGGATTGGGTTTTGGCCTATTTGCCCATCCTATAAGCCACAATGGCCATTTGCAAGCTCACCCAAAGCATACAGTAGGTGGAACTGAATTCCACTAAACGTCCAAGCCACAGTGCTCTTGAGATACACCTTGGAAAGTTGCAAACATGGCCCTGGAGAAAGCAGGTATCTTCATGTGCATAAAGAACTTCCTGTATGTGTACATTGCAGTGTTGGTTGAAAAAGCGCTGATTACATTGTTGGAGGGCAGGATCAGAAACGCGGACTAATAAATGGGCCTGAAGGACTACATATAGAATAGCTTCTTTACTTTTAAATGTATGTAACAAAACTATCGTTACACACTAATTACAATATATACATCCAGATTTTTGAAATGTAAGAACTGGAACATTTCTACACTAAGAAGCACATGCAGTTGTCAAAACTCATGCTATTTAAATTACTGTTAATTCCAGAAAAGACGTTTTAAACTTACCCAATACTGACAAATTTTGCTCTCCACCATAATTTTTTAAATGAAAAATCATCACTGATAATATATCTTTCTGTGGCAGAGCTCCATATCAATGTTTGACTGTGCCATCAAGGGTACTTTGCATCACTGAGAAATCTGGGTATCCAAAGTCATCCCAATAAGTAACACAAATCTTGTTAAAGTGCTTAAAATATTTTACTTGCAAAGCAAGTTTTTCCACTTTCTGGTTCCGAACAGTTGGCTCACGGGTGCGTGTCCATCACATGGCAGCAGCAATCAAACTCTTCACATGCATCAGTGAATGAGCCATCATAGACCCAATTTCTCAGAAAGCATTCAGTTCCTTCACCTCAAATAAAACCTTTTTCAAGGGAGGGAATCCACACATTAAGTGTTAAGCAACCATGGGATGTATATACATGTCTATGTGAACTAATTCACCAAACCGGTAACAAAGACATGGGTCCCCCTGAACCTCCTTTCCTTCCAAATACAGTTTCCTCTGCCTTTGACTCCAAATAAATAGCAGAGCTCAGAAAAGTAAATTCTGAGGATTACAATTCCCAGAATCCCCCAGGCAGCACAGTCACTGGCCATGCTGGATGAATATTCCTGGAGATGCTAGACCAAAGAAAACCCTCAAACTTCCAATCTGCGCCAAACAGTTCCAGATTGTCACCCAAGCGAAAGCATTTGCAGTTTGATTTCCACCTCTCACAGGCTCCCCACTGGGCACAGCGTTCAGAGCCCAAGCTGTGAACTTGCTGCTTTACCATTCCTGAAAGCAAGTGTCACATTCAATGTGACTGTTTTGTTCCCTGCAGGCAAGTTTCTTGTGCGGTAACACTTCATTTACTATTCAGGACTAAAGAAGCTGTATCAGTTATAAATAAATTAAATATTCTAAACTGGCTTCCAAAGAGTTGCTTCGTGCTATTGTAGTGGTATTTGACTCTTCCCCTTGAAACAGCAGACACATGAGATCGTTACATGTTGCTTTCGACACACACATACACATCCGTTTCAGAAACACTTGCTGTTTGAGACAAACATGAGACCTTCTTGAGAGAAGACAACTTGCTGCTCCGTTCTTTTAACTTGCTCGATTCCTACTACAAAGAACCTCAAGGTTATTTTAGACTATCTTGTATGTTCTACTCCATATTTCTTCCCGCATCTATAAATATGTCACATGTGGCATAGAACAAAGAAAAATCAGAACAATGGGTGTTCAGAACAAGCAAGTCGGATAGCAAATGTTCATGTTTTAGATTCTAACACTACCAAGTTAGAAGTTAAAAGGTCAGCAAGTAAATTTTTAAAAATCAACTAAAGTTTGAGAAGGAAAACAAAATATAGACACGTGTCTATAAAATTATTTTGAGAACATCCCGGCTGCCATCCTGCAAATACTCTCAGATTGCTTCAAGTAGCAATTGCAACTTCAGTCCATGAGGTTTAAATGCCTTACAGAAGACCAGTGCCTTAGTAAACATACATGCAAACACTGCCTTGACCATAAGGGCGGAAATTGCATATGTTGCCACAATGCTAATGTATGAAATGAGACATACGTTCACTTACTTACATCCATTCTTTGCAGCAATTCAACTTGCTCTAGGACACTGAATGGCAGCTAATGTATGAAGTTGACACAAATAACTAAATATACTAAATTAGCTAGATTTCCACCTCATAATGCTGAGGAAGAACACAGAGTCCTCATCGAGTGCATATAAGTTAGTCCCATGAAAGTCTAAATCCATTTGACTGAAGGAGGAATGCAGCCTTGTTTAAAGGGTCGTGAATACATCTTCAAGATCCCAAACAAATGCTCAAAAAATAGCAGCCGTAGGGAAACTCAATGTGCAAACGAGATACAAAAACTTGAAGTAGGGCAGTAAATACATATAGTGTGTATTTGTAGAAACTGACATTTCAATAACTTACTTAAATTTAAAATTTCTCGTCCCAAATATTCATCTCTAATACATATTCACAAATAAAGAGAGGCGAAGCAACTGTCCTTGGAAACCAGTCCGCAGGAAACCCATTGCTCTTCTGGAAGGAAAAAGAAGTGGGGAAAAACAACCAGCGCTAAAACCAGGAGGTTTAAATGTAGTGGTGGTTCGCGATCTCTCCGGCTTCAGGAGCTGCTCTGTCCCTAAACACAGCTGATCCAGAAGAGAGAAGTTCAAATGGAGCTTCCATGAGGCTTACAATATTTCCAGATCTACATGCCGCACCTCAGGATTCCGTTTCTGAAACAAAATTGATCACACTTTCAATAAACAGAAAGATCACAGACGCATTATAACGGATGAAGTGTTACGCTGGGATTGAGGACGCCAGGGTTCAAAGTTCTGTTCAAAGCCTCTCTTGGTTAATTATAACACATTATAATTATAACAGAATTGTAATACATCCATCCTCATCTCTACCACCTGCATTTTACACTTCCAACTACAAAGATCATGCAAATGTGCCTCTGAGGATAGTAGAACTGAGAAGAGCTCAATAATTGGCCAGCCTGAACCCAATTCATATAGTCCATAACCAGCATTTTCAGTAATAACTTATTTTGCTATCAAGTCTCAACCAGTAGACCAATTAAATCAGTGGTTCTCAACCTGTGGGACCCCAGGTGTTTTGACCTACAACTCCCAGAAATCCCAGCCAGTTTATCAGCTGTTAGGATTTCTGGGAATTGAAGGCCAAAACATCTGGGGACCCACAGGTTGATAACCACTGCATTAAATCAACTGAATTTATCCACCTTTTAATTCAACATTCAACACATTACCCAACAAATCTACTATTAGGACAAACAAAGAATAAAGATTTGGTTAAAAAAAACCCTTGTATTATGTACCACAATACTTGAAATAATCAAAACTTGGGGGGGGGGGGGGAAATGAGGACTTGTTTATAGGGCATGGGCACTGCCGGAAAAGCTAACTTCCAAGCAAGCATTAGCAAAAGAAAAATAGAAGATCTATTTGATAATACTATATAATGAAATTTGATTTAAAAATTCTGTTCCTAGTTTGAAAGTGTTGTTTCCTGTTTCATTTTGCGGTACTTACTTCGAAAGGTAGTTATACTCCAGAAACGTTTTTGTGGCTGCCATTTTTTTAACCTTTTAATGTGCCATTTTTACCCTTTCCTATGCCATTTTAAACCTTTTGTGCGGACCACAAAAACAAAGTTTTTGCAGTTTAATAAATTTTTTAAAATATAGAACCAATTAGAAAATAACATTTATAACCTGGGAATAAAAAACCTTATTACAAAGTGTAATACATGGAAGCCCTTTATTAGCATAGTGTGTAAAACTAATGGTGAATTCAAACCACCAAATGATCAAGAAAAGCTTTTGATGAACAACTAGAATATATATTGCAACAATTATATGTAATGGATTAAACTAAAATAAGTAGTAGGATAGAACTGACTGAGCTGTATTATATATCACACTATATGAATGATGGTATAGGGGGAGCATAGATCTGGGAATAGAGGATGTAGCAAGACAACTGTATTATGTGAAATGTTTTGAAATTAGTAAATACACTTTTTAATTGGAAACAAAATAAAACAAAAACAAATGGGATTCAGGTCACACACTATTCTCACGGCCTCCTCACTGACCACATTTTCAGCTATTTGGGGGAAAACATCAATTCTCCGTTTTAACCATTTTAACTGGACGTGTTTCCCAGCAGACTAGGGGTGCATCTACATAGCTAAAATGGTGTCAAACTGCATTAATTCTACAGTGTAGATGTACCCCAGGGTTCAAATGCTCCTTGCCAAGAGGGCAAAAGGCAAGACAAGTACAATCTCCCAAGGTAACTGTTCAACACAGGTTTTCATCCCTTAAAAGTATACTTGCTGGCCTAATGGAGGCTGAATGGTTATAAACACAATATTTTCCCAAAAGGGTCAGTTTATCAATAAAATATTCACAATGATTCATTTCACAGCCAATTCTTACCTTTAGCTCCTTTTCTAGCCTATCGACTTCTGCTCCTAGGGTGTCGATGATATTTTCCCCATGTTTGAGCATGAAAGTCTCCAATTCTTCAAGAGTTTTCACCTGCTGAATTTCCTGTCATCAAAGTAAAAATATGAATGAAGTGGAGAATGATATGTGTCATTTCCATGTTATAAAATGCAAGCACATTTTTATCCAATAAGAAGTGATGATAATAATAATAATAATAATAATAATAATAATAATAATATCCAATAAGAAGTGATCAAGATACCAGAAATAGGTTTGTTTTGTTTGTTAACTATTGAAACCAATGCCAAAGGGGAAAAAACATTCAAATAGTAGCATACTGGGATTTTGCACAGAATGGCTACGTAACTGGAAAATAATGAGAATCTCAGGTTTCTTTTCTTTTTAAAAACAAGTGTCCAATCCTCATGTATCCAAGAAACTTTATCTACTGAAATCAGTGTTGGGTTTCATCCCTGGGCTGCAGAAGTCTCTTGTGTCATCAAGTTTCCAGACCTCAATAAGTAGCTAGACTACAGACAGGACTAAGCCGAGGGATTCTTTTCCCCCACTTTACCATGCATGTTTCCCAAAAGGGCTTTGTCTTTACTCCTGCTAGCCACTGTCTCATCCCCCACTTTGATGATACAAGAATTGAATTCTGTGAAGAAACTTCCTCTTTAAGTTTGATTGCCCTGGGTTGACCATGTGGTCTCCACAATTGTTCTCTTCTACCTTTTCTTCCTTCCAGTGAGGACGCATTTTGCCTCTCTCTTTAGGCAAAATGTAATTGCATGGATTTTTTTAAAAAAGTTTTACCCTTTTACTTTAGAAAATGAGATTTAGTAAGCTAGTTAGCTCCAAGACCTTTTCTCTCTAGAATGTATTTCTTTTACTTTAGTAAATATTTTTGAACCTAAAGTTCTGACTCTGCAATCCTGTGCCATCCTAAGAATAGAAGCTTATCCCAGTTTCACCACACATAAGTACTCTGCTATATTTTTCGTGGAATCACCCCAACTGAGGCTTATTTTGAGCCCAAGAGCTCTGATTCCCCAACAATTTGGGTTTCCAGCAATGATTTGCCCTTCAGCCTCCCTAAGAGAAGCATGATGACCCCTACAGGGATTGGCAGAATATGAATTATTCATTCAGGCTACAGAATCCAGCTTTTTTCAGTGCAAGGATAGGTTAACCAATGGACCATTAATACTTAAATTTTTTAGAGGTTAGCAATGCTTTAAAAAAGTCTTACGGTAATAAATATACCACATCTAAGAACATCCAAAACATGTAGAATAAAATACGAATGTTGCTAGAGACCATGATCCCAAGCCCACTTAGCTAAGAGCAAAGCACAATGAACTTAATTGGTCTTGCCCTTGAGTACACACATACAGGATTGTGCAGTGTCAACTTGCCTACTACTACTACTACTACTATTCTATATTTGTGCTGTAATGCAATGTTAAACTCTGGCATAATTGACAGTCCTTTAAACTCATTCTTCAACTACCTTCTTTGGTTGATAGATCACACATCAATTCATTTTTTAAAAAAACTTAAGTTGTATTTATGGGTTAGCGCATGTACATGTCACCTCTCCATTTGAAAATTCACAAGGTAGACTTGTATAGAATTGGTTAATGTGGGAGACATTATACATAAAACATGGAGCCTCTGTGAGCAGCAAAATTTAGGGATTTTTTTCCATGTCAGGAGCAACTTAAGAGACTTGCAAAATTTAGTGCACTTGGGTAAGAAAAACAAACATGAAAAGAATGCTGTAAAAAACATACTTGTAGCAGTTGTTCAATGTCTTGTTTCTCCAGATAAGACCGAGTAACAACCCGTCCATCGAAGTCTACTTCTGCTTTGAATCTCACTTTGCTCATCCCCATATCTGTAGCTTTAACATCATGAATGGCTCTGAAATAAGTATTTCGTAAGAGAAGTTGTTAAGTGCCTTAAATTGAAAAGGCAAGTGGACACGTGCAAAAACAGTGGCTTTTTCCCTATTAGACTTTAACATCTGCTGTTACAACTTTAACCATACATGCTTTAACTAATTTTCTGAGCACAAACGTTGTTATTCATTGAGATTTTCCAGCTAACGTTCTTACCTTACTGCAGGATCGCTCTCCAGGAGCTCTGTAAGTCTCTGTAACTGGTCGGGCTGGATAGAGCGGCCTAGCAATGCTTCCGTGTTGGTATAGATGAGAAAAGCTGAAACAGCTCCCAGTAAGGTCCCCACACCAAGAGACCCCAGACTGTCATAGTATGGATTCCCTGAAAGGATACAAACACAAATCGATGTCTCCAAATAGAATAGTTTTATGCCCTTCTCTAGGCATTTTTAGATCTTCCAGTGAAATTCTATGGTCACTATTATTTTAATAAATAAAAATGTATGATTATTCTACATTTATTGTGTTTTAACTTTTGTCACAGATATTTTAACTATGCTTTCATAGTTGCATTTTAACTATTTTTAATATTTGATTTTGTAGACTGTTGTGCCCCACCTTGAGCCAAAAGGAGTGATGGATAATAAAAATAATAATAATAATAATTATTATTAAAACACTTATTATTATTATTATTATTATTATTATTATTATTATTATTATATAATTCACCACTTAACTCAAGATGAGCATATAAGCAGCTGGTTTAAGATCAACGCTAAGAAAGTCTCCTCCCTTGGGCTTTCCATATCCTTCCTAACTTACCTGGGCTTTGACATGGCTCTCAACTCAATCAAACAGAGACTGTGGGATATTGTTTTTTGTGAGCAGCGCTCCCGTTCATATATATCTTGCTCCCCAAGTGCCCTTTCTATACATTACACTGGGCCTTCCCAGGCAGCAAATTATCTAAAGAACTTGACTGTGGCCAAATACCATTGCCTATTTTCCAAGGTAAGGTGTAATGTGTTCCCATCTGAACTGCGTGGGAAATTTGGGGGTATCCCATATAATGAAAGACTTATTATTATTATTATTATTATTATTATTATTATTATTATTATTAATTGAAACACACCAAGATGAGTCCACAGCCCACAGCAGACAAGATCACTCTGCTGGCTGTTGTATTGGATCACACGTCGGACACTTCCCAAGTGTCTAGAACTGTGTGATGTATCGGTGAATAATGCGTGCAGATCCCAGTAAGGTGGCCTTCTGCAGCTGGCAGATGGTAATTTTTTCAGCGCCAATTGTGTTTAAGTGCAGGCCAAGGTCTTTAGGCACTGCACCCAGTGTGCCGATCATCACTGGGATCATCTTGACTGGCTTGTGCCAGAGTTGTTGTTGTTGTTYTTYTTYTTATTATTARTACTACTARTATTATTATTTCCAGAAGTTGACTACATAATCACACCAGAAGACCTAGAAATCATGGAGGTCATGGATAGGGCAGCAGCAGAGAGGCATCAGTAAATGCGGTTATCAGTCAATATTCAAATCCGGGAAATCTTATCCCGCATATACGGAGGGACATCTCTTGAATGCTGCAGTATGAAAAGAGGAATTCCCTGTACCAAGAGAATTAGCAGGTCAAGGATTTTAGATTATCCTTAGCCCGGAGAAGCTAATTTTTTACATAAATAATAGAATCTTCTTCCTGCTGGGATAGCATTTGAAGAGAAAGATTCCAACTTGCAGGCTAACTTAATTCAGTTCACTGGAACTGTCCATTGATCCTCTGTACAGCACCTTGATGTTTCAGCGACACTCACAAGACCCACTACTAACTCAGCTGATAAACTATCCCTGATGTATGTGCTACTTAGAGATAATGCTACTCAGTACTCCATTTTCTATAGATACTTACCTGTTAGGGAGGTCAGACCCATGCAGGTTGCCGCTAACGTCACACCCAGAACTGCAGCAGTGTCTTCTAACAACACAACATTTGTACTAGGATCACGAGCCTGCATAACTGGAAATGGGAACACAGTTGAAACTGATGTAATTCCAATGTACTGAATTAGCTAGACAAGACCACAAGCCTTTGCACAAGTGCCCCCATTCAAGGACACAGTAAACCAGATCAAGCAATGTGGTGCCTTTCAGATTGCTTTGTATTAAATGTCCATGATTTCACTCAGCGCGACTACAGATTGGGGATTACGGAGGTTATAATAGTCCCCAAACCTGTAGAGGATGACAAAGTGCCTACCCTCGAAGTGAGCACTTTTACACATTTTAAATGGGGTCCATCAGAATTCATGGGATATTGAAACTAAAAATACAACTACCGTATTTTCCGGCATACTAGACGGCTTTTCAGGCCTGAAAAATCTTATGAAAAGTCAGGGGTCGTCTAGTACGGCGGGTATAAAATTAAAATAATAATAATTAAAAGAGAGAGGGCACGGGGAGGAAGAGCAGCAGGCCTTATTGCCATGGGTGATCGCCCATTCTCCTTTCTCTACTTTCATGGCCCTCCTCTGCCCCCGACGCTCACCTCCTTCGAAGGCCACCGGGCTCGTCTAGGCCCATGGAAGCGCCTTCGTACAACTCCCAGCAGCCGCGGCAGCAGCATGCGTGGGATGTGCTCACTGAGGCATTCTGGGAGCCATAAGAGTCAGGGAACTACGGTTCCCAGAATGCCTCAGTGAGCACATTCCAGGCACGCTGCTGCCAGGGCTGCAGGGAGTTGTCGTCTGAGAGCTGTAGAAGTCACCAGGGCTGCTGGGAGTTGTCGGAAAGCACTTCCTTGCACCTTTGGACGACGACTTCCTGCAGCCCCGGCAGCAGCGTGCCTGGGATGTGCTCACTGAGGCATTCAGAGAGCCGTAGTTCCTTGACTCCTACGGCTACCAGAATGCCTCAGCAAGCACATCCCAGGCATGCCACCACCCAGGGCTGCTGGAAGTTGTCTTCCGGAGGCGCTTCCTTGGGCCTAAGGCAAGCCCAGTGGCTTTCAGAGGAGGTGAGCGGCGGGGTGGAGGAGGGCCTTTAAAGTAAGAGTGGGTAGAGCGGTGGGGGCTGTGGGGACAGCCCAGCAGGTCATCACCCCCAGCTCCATGGAATGCGGAGTCATCTTAAATGGAGAGTATATCCCTAACTCTGTATTTTGTGTTGAAAAGTTGGGGGGTCATCTTATACCCCCAGTTGCCTTCAAGAGCTCTTGTTTACGGTACTTCAAGAGTTCTTGTTTCCTTAGTAGCAACAAATAATCTTTAAAAAATCATATTTATGAAGGAATTAAGGTGTATATATTCAAAGTTATAGCTACAGTGGGAACTAGAATCTAATTGGTAGGAAGATCAACTGGGCAAACTGTTGGCTTAGGTAACAGAGGGACTGCTACTCACTGGTGAAAGGGGGCTAGGTAGCTATTCAGATCCAACCCAATTAAACAGATCATTAAACAGATACTTACCATACTGATAAAATGATACACCTTTGGCCCGAGCACTCCTTCGAATTTCATTTATAGCTACGAGAAGTGTTGCTGAAACAAAAGGGAGGCCATTGTTTGAAAAGAGAGAGAGAGCAAAACACCAGTTTTAACTCCATAAAAACACAAGACAGAGGAAAATGCAAATAAAAGCAGCACATTCATTTGTGAATTTTAATATCGGTGTTAAGAGATAAAGAACAGTTCCTAAATGGTTGAAATAATTCTAGCTACATTACATTTTTACTCCAGAATGCATTCCTGGGATTTCTACAGAAACTCTCTAAAACAGGCTTCTTAAAGTTCTCCACTCGCAACCTCTTATGGCCAAGAAATGTTTATATGACCTCAGGTATATAGGTATCTAAATTAGGTATAAAGATAAAAAAAAATCCCTCTGGTCATATCTGACTCTGGAGGGTGGTGCTCATCTCCATTCTAAGCTGAAGAGCCGGCGTTGTCCATAGACGCCTCCAAGGTCATGTGGCCAGCATGACTACATAGAGCACCATTACCTTCCCACAGAAGCAGTACCTACTGATCTACTCATATTTGCATGTTTTTGAATTGCTGGATTGGCAGAAGCTGGGCCTAACAGCGAGAGCTCTGCCTGCTCCTTGAATTCAAACCACTGACCTTTCGGTCAGCAAGTTCAGCAGCTCAGTGGTTTAACCTGCTGTGCCACCAGGGGCTCCCTAAATTAGGTATATAGGTATCTAAATTGGATATAAAAATCAAACATGATGACAAATCAGCATTTGCAAGGCTTGCTTGCTAAACAGGCTGATTTTCCCTGGAGCAGGGTACAGGGAGCATACAACCCCTTGTTACGCCAGCTCCACTGGCTACCTATTAGCTTCTGAGCACAATTCAAAGTGCTGGCCTTAACCTATAAAACCCTAAACAGTTCTGGCCCAGCTTACCTGTCTGAACATATCTCCCTATACGAACCCCCAAGGACCGTAAGATTGTTTGGAGAGGCCCTGCTCTCAGTCCTAACACCACTGCAGTCATGTTTGGTGGGAACGAGAGACAGGGCCTTCTCGATGGTGGCCCCTCGGCTGTGGAACTCACTCCCCAATGAGATGGGATCTGCCCCCTCCCTCATGACCTTCCGGAAGAAGCTCAAACTCTGGTTATGGGATCAAGCATTCACAGAATAGATGGTTTTAATGGACTTTTTTGCTGATGGAAATTGATTGATTTGTAAGATGATGTGAAACGGCAAACTGTTTTAATGTATCTATAATTGTTTTTAATGTAGGTTAATTGTATATTATGCTTGTTTTATTTTTTGGCACCAAATGGTGCCTGAGTCCGTCTTTGGAGGCGAGAAGGACGGGATAGAAATGCTCCTAATAAATAAATCTATACAAATAAAAATGTAATGTTCGCTTGTGGGATTAACATAACTCAAAAACCACTGGACGAATTGACACCAAATTTGGACACAAGACATCTATCAGGCCAACAAGTGACCATCACTCATAAAAACACTGAAAAACACAGCAGAAGAGACTTAAAAAGCCAAAAAACAAAAAAGACATTACAACACATGCACAAAACCACACATATATATACGCAAACATACATATACACAAATACATATACACATGCAAAACGCATATACACAGACTGGGCCACAGCAACGGGTAGCAGGGGACGGCTATTAAATAATAAAACGGAAGGGAAATTAAGAGTATAACCACCTTGAGTCACCTTCGGGCTGAGAAAGGCGGTATACAAATATCGTAAATAAATAAATAAATAATTCATCCAATCCACCCACATCCCCTGCCCTGAATCCTATTAGTTGCCCTAAATAGAATAAACCCCATTGCATTAATTGCTGAGTCCATTAAAATAATCTATTCTGCGAACCCTTGATCCCATAACCAGGGTTTGAGCTTCTTCTGGATCAACAGTCACGTAAATGCTATTGATTACAATGAGTCTCTCCAGGATGGGGCTGTCAACAAGACTGAGGCCATGTTCCTTATATCTCTATCTTTCAATCTTTTTTTCACTGTTGCTAGATTTTCACATTTAACATGACAGTATCTTGAAATGTCAGAGGGCTTATATACTTAAGAGCAAGTGAGATCAAACTTCAAGCATCAATTGCTGCATCTGCAAAATGATGGCATGCTGCTAAATAATCATGTTTTTTGCCACTAGATAGCATACCTCCTTCAGAGACCAATGATCCTGCTAAAATACAATAAGCCTGAAAAAAACAAGAAGGGAGGGAGAGGAGGTTAGTTAATATACATTATGGTGCCTTATAAATCACAGAGTTCAAAAATAACTTCGAATGTTTTGAGATTCAACTGAATCAGGATACCAAAAAATACAGTAAATATTTCCTTCTAAGACTGCTGATTTCAGTTATTTCAAAAGCACACTGTCCTCCAAATAATAATCCAGAGGTCAAAAATGAATTTTACCGAAACATTTGGCTTGTACAATATGATGGAGGGTCTGAGGGTCATTTGTTTGGAACTCATACGCCCTGTAATTTTGCCATTTTGATGGAAACAGCAGAGACATTCAACCATTACTGAATGAACTAGAGAGAAGTCTCTGAAGAAGTAATTTTCCTTTTCTGTTTTTTTCACCAATTATTTATTTTTAATTTTTTTATTTAATCAAGTAGACATATATTTGCAAGTGTTTGTTGCGTACAGTGCAATACTTTCTATCTATTAATGTTCCATAATCAGTTATCTGACAATATATTTCCTTCAAGGGGTCACAGTCTACTATCTAAATAATACATATAAAAATATCGTAGAATCTTACTTTACATCCGCTTCCTCCTTGGCTACAGTCTTATAGGATCCTTTATATACATTTTTAATTTAATTTTACATTAAGATGTTGAATCATTGGTTGCCATTCATTAACAAAGTTATCTAATAGTTCTCCTCTTAATAATACAGTTGTTTTGTCCATTATCAGCATATCTGTAATATATTTTCCCCATTCTTCTAAAAGAGGTATCTCTGGGGTTTTCCAATATCTGGCATATACTATTCTGGCATATACTGTCGTGTAATAAAAAAAATCCAATTTTTTTTCTAATTCTTCATCGGGCATATTCAGAAGGTACATCTGAGGTGTCATTTTGAAATTTGTGTTTAACATTTTTTCGAGATATACATGGATCTGTTTCCAGTAATTTTTTTTACTTTGTTGCAAGTCCACCATGTGTGGTAGAATGTACCTTTTTCTTTCCCACATTTCCCACATTTGTTGGAGCAATTCTACATCTTAGCTGGTCTCTCTGGAGAAAGATACCATCACAGGTACATTTCCACCAATTATGTTGAAATGATATAATTAAATGCCATTCTGGAGGCTGAAGTCATATCAAAGCCAGTTCAGCAAGATCCAGATTGCTCATCTCCATCCCATCTAGTATTAAAGAGGAGCCCTGGTGGTGCAATGTGTTAAACCCTTGTGCCAGCAGGACTACTGACTAAAAGGTCAGCTGCTTGAATCCGGGGACCGGGGTGAACTCCCATCTGTCAGCTCCAGCATCTCACACGGGGACATGAGAGAACTCTCCCACAGGTTGGTAAAACATCTGGCCGTCCCCTAGGCAATGTCCTTGCAGATGGCCAATTATCTCACACCAGAAGTAACTTGCAGTTTCTCAAGTCACTCCTGACACAAGAAAAAAAATCTAGTATTAATGGCTTCCCAGCTCTGAAGAACATTGCAATGCACATCACAGAATATGAATATAGATTTTTAATATTTCGCTATCTTATGTCTTGAGATGCAGCGTGCTGTAGTTGTTTTGAGTGCTGGATTACAATTCTGGAGAGAACAGAGTTCAAATCCCTACTTGGCCTTGGAAACACACTAGGTGGCCTTTGGCAAGTCACATTCTCTCAGCCTCAGAGGAAACCAAAGGCAAATCTTTGAACAAACCTGACCAAGAAAACCCTGTGACATGGTGAACCTAAATTTGAAATTACTCAAAGGCATGCAGCAACAAAAATAATTTACAATTTTTGAAAGCATTTCATCCTTTTACCCACAGAAACTGAGAACAATTAGCTTTAGCGCTTCTCTGTCTCATAAACTGGCCTCTATCTTTTGCCTTGTCCTCAAACTAAAATAAGATGTCAAAGTTAACAAGGTAGAAATGTAAGTCTTTCTCTAAATCTCTATTCTCAGTTTTGGCATTTACCAATAAAGCATCTCACATGTTTTGCACAAGTCAATATTTGAAAAAGGGAGCGTTAATATATCCATACATCATGAATATTTCCTGCAATCATACTATTTATTACAGGTGACTTTTTAAAACAAATGTCTGGTTGTTTTTTTTAATCTATATAAATCAAAATGTTATGTTAGTTTGTGGGATTAACATAACTTAAAAACCACTGGATGAATTGACACCAAATTTGGACACAATACGACTATCAGGCCATCACTCCTAAAAACACTGAAAAACACAGTGGAAGGGACTTAAAATCCAAAAAGGTAAAAAGACGCTACAGCGCATGCACAAAAACGACTCCCCCAGCAAACAAAACACACAATAGCATATCTACACTCTCTTCTGGACTACAGCTCTCAGCATCCCCCAGACCAATCCATTTAGGAGAGGAAGAGGATCCAAATGCACTGCTTCCAAGCTGTAAGCTTTCTTCTCATTGTATTTCTTTGATTGCATCCCAATCCCTGCATATTTCCAATATCCTATACTGGACTGCAACTCCCAGAAATCCTCCAGGCAGATAGATTAGAGAGAGAGAGAGAGAGAGATCAGGAGGACTGCTGAAGTTTCAGTCCAAGATTAGGTAGAGAAGGAAGAACAGGGAGAAAGAGAAAGGGTAAGAAAATGGGGAGAAGGAAGGGAAGAGAAAGAAGTAAGGAGAGAGAGAGAGAGAGAATAAGGAAGGGAAGGCTGGCCACAGCAACGCATAGCGGGTATAGCTAGTAATAATAATTGTTCTGTCGCCGCTGGGCCTATAGCTAGTTGACTTTAGATATAGGATGTGTAGCCTTTACCCAGCGGGAAGCCAGGGGCCCTAGGAAAAGTTCTCAGATGCTTCCTTTACAAAAGGATTCTTCAAATGGCTTAAAAGGTACAACAAAGTCTTTTATTAATGAATCCAACAGGAATTGTAAAGCTTTCTTGGCAAAGTATCAGTTCTCTCAAACTTGTCCACAGGGAACAGGCACTGTCTTCAATAACTTTCTTCAAAGGAAAATTCCCCTTTTTAACTTCTCCCAAGGCTAACTAAAATCCAATCCTCACTGGTGTGGGTTCCTCTGCCAGGCCGAACTGCTTCTCGAAACACTGAGAGGACCTACCAGAGAGGCAATGGATGTTCTTTAGAGTTTAAGGCTGTCTTCCTGGAAACTCCCAAGGCTGTAGGAAGGAATCCCTGGAGTTCTTAGGAGACCCTTAAAGCTGTGGGAATGCTTCCCTGGTGTTCTTTCCCTGGAGCTCTTAAAGGTCGAAGCCTTTGTACAGGGGAAGTAAACACATCCTATACACTGGCTACCTTGCTGTGACTGACTGGAAAAGGCTCCCTTCCCTCCAAAGCCTAGAAAGGGGGTGGAACCAGGGAACCCAATGATAATTGACAGGTGGCTTGCCCTATGAATGCAGCCAAAGGAAGCCACCTATCTGCAGAGTCCCTGAAACTATAAACAAACACTCAGTGCAAAGCAAACAAATTTGGAGCTCCTGGAACAGCTGTTCCAGAACAATAATAACAACAACTTTATTCTTATATCCCGCCACCATCTCCCCAGGCGGCTTACATGGGGACGAAGCCCAACAGAAACAGAAATAAAATACAGCACAAATTAAAATACATTGGATTTCAATAATTAAAACATTAAAACCAAACAAAGAAAATCAAAGGCATTTTCGATTTGGTTCCTGCAATACATACATTCCAAATTTATTGCAACCAGCAGCAAAACACTAAGGAATTTGTTAGCAAACAAATCACATCTATGAAAGAAGTAGAGACCTGTAGGCTCAAAGGATGCTGAACTAGTATAATAATTCTAATTGTGCCTATTGACATTTGTGATGGCCTGACAGGGACTAGAGTCCATTACAACAGGTATCTCATCCCTGACTCCAAGATGCTAAACGTTCGCGTAGAAAATAACTCAGTATAAGAAACTGTACACAAGCAGGTCTGTTTCCCTCATGCACTGGCTTATAATTTAAAAAATAAAAATAAAAATGTGGGGATTATTACAAACTACAGCTGAATGAAAGCACTTCAGTTTTAAGATACAACAACTTACCCAAAGAAGAGATTCCATGGGTTGAGGATTAAGCAGACCTATAATACCATGATACCAGGAAAGTCCTGCACCCATCATGAAAATGCCAACACCACTAATCAAAGACGCAATGTACCGCATGTTTGTGAAGCCATACCTGGATAAGGAGAGGAAAAATTAACCCTGTTACAGAGAATCCAGACTGTGGCTCCATCCAGCTCAGGGCTGGCAGTGGATCCCAGACAAGTTCATGCCAGATTTGCCCAGAAATATTTTGGATTGTACCTAAAACCTTCTGCACAAAAGTTCTGTATTTTACCACTGATCTATTGGAGATTTTCCAATGTCTTAAAGGTGAAGACACACAAAACAGACTGAAAACTGACCAAAATAGCCAGGAATAAAATCCAGTGAGATTTCTGGGGCTGATTTTTGGTAGCATGACCTACCAGGAAGTAAAGGTGAAAACACCCTTGCCATGCATGCCCACCCATTTTAACACAGTGCAAGTAAACTTACTGTTTATTTCAGGTGTCAAAGAAACCTGAAAAAATCCCTCTCATGTTTAATATAAAGCCCCAAACCACCCAAAATTATTCAACTAGGCACTTTTTGAACAGTCAATTTTTTAAAAAAACTCATGTATAATACAAGTTTTAGCATAACTTTGTTCTGAATTGTTTTAAGTCCTCTTAGGCTACATATGAGGAGAAAAGCAAATTATAAATTGATACAAATTATTTCCTTTAGAGTTTGGACCTGATTATAAACAATGATATCATACTAGGATACAATGTGGGATATTCAAATACTAAAAGTAGGTTCGGACATGCATATCCATAAGTAATATGACATAAGTGTTGTTTTTAAAAACAACCTACTTACGGATGACTTGAGTCTGGTGTCCTCACAGACTGACTGATTCCCAACGCTAACAAAGCCTGTGCATGAAAATAATGTACAAAAATAAATTTTAAAATAGCTTATCATTTTCAGAATTAACTAAACCAGGGGTCCTCAAACTTAAGGCCCGAGGGCCGGATACGGCCCTCCAAGGTCATTTACCTGGCCCTCGCTCAGGGTCAACCTAAGTCTAAAATGACTTGAAAACACACAACAACAACAACAACAACAACAACAAGTGGAAATCTCTGTCTTGGCAGATCAGGGGCCACAAAATTTTAACAGGTCAAATACTTTCGATACCTTGGTATTTGCTACAGATATAACTTGTCATGGCTCTCACAATGACAAGCAGTAATGGCTTCTGCACATACCAACATTGCGGCAATATATATATTTCTCTACAGTAATGGTAACCAATATATCACTGCTGCCCTCAAAGTTTTTGAGGCTAGGATTGGTTCTCTGTTACTGCATGACTCCCCTATTTGGATATTTGCAATTAATAAATCATTTAATACACTACATTTCAAGTTTCTCCAGAAACCAAATGGGGCTCCATAGATGTGTGTCTTGCACCAAAGACAACTTGTTCCTCTACCACATCATAAATTCCATGCAAGCGTGGAGTCATTGCAGCATATTTCGCATTTTGATTAATCCCTCCCAGAGGAGATCTTTGGCAACTGCAGGATGCAATGTGTTGCTATCAGCTCTTTTGGATGGGAAATATTAAAAAGTGGAACGTTCTTGTGACCTGGTATTTCTTGAAATATTTCACCATTCTTTGTTTGCCCCAAATATGATAATATACAGATGAAATACAGGAATTCCACTTTTCACAGTGTTCCCAATGGCAAGGCTGTTACAAAATTCCATATTTTCTGAACAACTCTAATGCATTATTTTGTGAGACTGTTGCAAATTTTATTCCTGAGATTAGTAACTTTTAAGTATGTTTTACTTTTTATCTCTGACTTCCTCTTGTTGTATATGCCCGTGTTGTGATTTTGTTGTTGTATGTGTGTGTGTTTATATGTGTGTGTGTTTGTATGTGTGTGTGTTTGTATGTGTGTGTGTTTAAAAGGCTGTGTGTTTAAAAGGCTGTGTGTTTGTGTGTATGTACCTGAAATTGTCCATGCACCTTATCCTAAAGCATATCAGCTTGTATTCCAATGAAACTAAGAGCCAATCATACTTAGAAAGCAAAACATTTGTTATTTATAACAGGAAATACAACTAAATTTGAAATTATTTGTACTGATTTGTAAATGATTTGTACTGGAAAACATGCAATACACAAATTTGAGAGTTGTGGCCTCTATAGTGTTTATTCTGCCAAGTTTAGCCAGTACAGTTTTTAATATCACATGTATGTACATGCAGAAATATTCCATTTTTTCCCTTTTTTGCTACAACATTGTAAAAATGGACCATTGTTTTGTTTTAAGAGACAATAATAAAATCCTCAGGAGAAAATGTTCACTTCACTGGCCCGAAAACATTCCCAAAAAAAGAATGAAAACATTTATATAGGAATATATATAGTATCTGATCACTATTATTCCTGATTTGTGTTTCCTTCTCTCACGTCAGTTTAAAGGAATGAGTGCTTTCTGTTTATTTGACACTACTGAGGACAAAATAATTTTCTATATTTTAATAATGTTGATGTTTTGTACTGTTTTATTGGAAGATTTTTGCCCTTTGCTCAAACCGGTAAACCAAAGCTAATAATAATAATAATAATAATAATAATAATAATAATAATAATAATAACAACAACAACAACAACAACAACAACAACAACAACAACAACAACATTTCTTACTCGCTTCTCCTTATGGCTTGAAACAGATTTTCCTTTTTAGTTCAATTTGTAATTACCTCTGAAAAAACTGCATTTTTACTTTATTCAACATACCCATTTTATGCTAAACAAAAATCATACTTAACGATGTTTATGTACTTAAATTAACAAAACAATTTTCAACCTGTAAAGGAGAGTTATGTTGCTTTTCCTGCCTTTTCTAAAAATAATGGTGTTTCATTCTGGAAAGAAAGGAGGGGGAAACTTTCCCCCATGGTTTTGAAATTTAGAGCAATTTTACATCTCTGTGTGTGTGTTTCTTTGAAACTGACAGTCCCACTCCACAACACTGTTTAACAATAAAATCCAAAACTAGAGACAATACTCACTTGATTGCAAGTATCTGCCAATGAATGGATAGCTTCAGAGAACATGCTCGCAGAACCCGTGTAAACCCATGCAAGAAGCTTGAAAAAAAAATTCAAGCCATTTCTGGGGATGGAGGAAGGAAAAACACAAATTAAATATATTTAATAATCAGTGCCCTTTGCTTTCAAAAAATGTGATCCTAGGAATTTTCTTCATCTTCAATGGTTTGTTTTACCCATTTAATAGTATCAGGACTAAGCATGGCTGAGAATTAAAACAGATGCCCTTTAAACTAGGATTAATAATAATAATAATAATAATAATAATAATAATAATAATAATAATCAATCAATCAATCATCATCTATATCTATACATATAATAAAAGTGAAAAGTGGGGTGTCCACTTACACAGACAAGCTCCCACTTCCACAAATAGCTATAGCTCCCACTACACAGGAGACACCAATTGCCCTCCCTCCAATGACATTGCAGGTTATAGCAAGTATCAAGAGCCCAGCCAGTGTCCTCCACAGACACTATACTGCCCACCACCCAAGTGAAGGCTTTCAAAAGGAGACAATTTCATCCTATATTTTATGTGTTTCCTCCACTACAGACATCCCAGTGTTTTTTACTCTCTCTATTGATGTGGAATTTGCATGACCTCGCCCACTGCCTCTCCCTTAACCCTTTCCTATTCTTTTCTATGGCACACAGCAAACAGAGGAATTGATCAGCAACTGAACATACTAGATAAGTTTGGGGAAAATTCACATGATTTATAGGAATTATAGGTACTGGGCTGTATAGTTTACCTGAAATCCAAGAGCACTCTGAACTCCACCAATGATGGAGCTGGAACTAACTTGGCACACAGAACCCCCATGACCAACAAAACTTACTGGAGGTCTTTGAAGGGATTTATAGGAGTTATAGTTCACCTACACCCAAAGTGCACTTTGAACCCAAACAATGATGGATGTGGACCAAACTTGGCATGCATACCCAATATGCCCAAATTTGAATACTGGTGGGTTTTGAGGGGAATTGGCCTGGACAATTTGTAGGTACTGGGATTTATAGTTTATCTGCAATCAATGAACACTCCGAACTCTACCAAAGATGGAATGGGACCAAACTTGGCACACAGAGCCTTCCTTGACTAACAAAAAATACTGGAGGTCTTTGAGGAAATTTAGCTTGATTTGGTGGAGTTGTCATTCCCCTACATCCAGAGAGCACTGTGAACCCAAACACCGATTGATCTGGAACAAACTAGGTACAAATACCTGATATGCCAAAAATTTGATTACTGGAGGAGTTTGGGTGGAACTGAACTTCCTTTCTGGAAGTTGTAATTCACCCACAACCAGAGAAACTGTGACCTCCACCGATGATGGATCTTGGTACACAGAACCCCCATGACTAACTCAACCTACTGGAGGGGTTGAGGGGACTGACTCACCACAGTGGGAGTTGTAGTTGACCCTACAGCCATAGAACACACTGAACCCCACCAATGATACATCTAGAGCAAACTTGTCCAACATAAGAAACTTTAAGTACTGATGGAGTTTCTCAGAGTTAACTTAGCATGATGTCAACTGTAATTCACCCACAACCTTATGCATTTTGTACAATTAAAACATTAACTTTTTCAAATAACCAGGACAACGCCAGGTACCCAAGCTAGTAGTACTATTTATTTATTTATTTATTTACATTATTTATATCCTGCCCATATCAGCCTGCAGGCGACTCAGGGCAGTCTACATATCGACACAATTCGATGCCATCAATACATACATTCAAAAAGCAAAAACAATTAAGTACATTTAGACAAAGAAGAGCTATAATACCAACTCTAATTAAGAAAGGAGAAGTCTGATGAATTTTGATGTAGGCATTAAACATTACACAACAGAAAGCATGGGACAATTTGATTAGCCGTGGGAAGGATAAAACCCAGACACTCTTTATGTTAAAAACTATGTTGAAGAATATATCTATCTATAATAGACCACTCCCTTACCAGATATTGATGGGACCATAAATCCTTACATCTTAACAGGACAAACGGCAAGCAAAAATACTATAGAAGCAGAGTCTCAGCTACTAAAATCAAAACAAGTGTTTAGCAATCTAATACCTTGCAGAAGATGGTGCAAGATGTTCACGCTTGTCTTCATTCTATGGTGACTTTTGGGCTTCATTAATGAAAATAAATTCTGTTTTTCAGACCAGAAAATGCCACCAACACAGAATCAAAATACTATGGAACTTACATTTATTATAAAGCTTTTATTTTTCAGTTTCTAGCTTTTGCCAATGCACACATTAAGAAAAAACTTACATGCAAATAGCAACCATCACCACCTTTCCTGGTCCGCTCAGAAACAGTGTTGATGTGGTAGAACGTGGCTAAAATTAAAAACATAAGCATTCAATAATGTGCTGTTATTATGATTTCAAGAGCTGTATGTCAGGTAAAATAAACTGTACGAGTTGCAATGGATTGTCAGTTAAATATGCATAAATAAACACATCAAAACAACAACAGTTCTGCAACAAAAGCAAGTTTATTAAACAATACAAGTATGTAGGCAACCAACGTCTGAGCCTGATGCCTGAACTTTTGCAACTGCTTATATTAAAAGCAAGGGCAGGAGACCTATGGCCAGCCTAATTATGGCAGACTACAAATCCTATAATCCCTGGACATTGGCCAACTGCCGAAAGCCGATAGAGATTGGAATTCCAATAGTATATCTGGTGAGTCAGAGATTCCACAGCACTGTATTTTTTAAAAGGTATTTTTTAAAAATGGGTGCAAATTAACTGAGAGAACCTTTTACTGTAAAAAAGTGTCAATGAAAAATCTTAAAACTGATCAGCTGAATACTGAAGACCTATGAACAGTAAAACAACTTTATATACAGTAAAACAACCATTCACACAATTACTAGAAATATTTTATAATTTTGCTTTATAAAGTAATTATTTAAAAGGAGAAACAATTCACAACAGTATTTTTATCCACCTTGCCTCCCCTGTCCCATTTTCAATTCTTTCAATGGAACACATGACCCCCATGAGAAAGAAAATGTCCACAGCCTTTCAAATACATAAGGACTAGAAACTTATTCCGCATTGAAAGGAAAGATTCTCAGGAAACTCATCTCTTTGTATGCATGCCATCTTTTATACCAGAGTTTCTCAAACTGTGCTCTTCGGGGTGTTTTGGACTTCAGCTCCCAAAAATGCCAGCTGTTAGGAATAAGTGGGAGCTGAAGTCCAAAATATCTGGAAGAGAACAATTTGAGAACCACTGTTTTATACTATTATTCTGTATGTTTGCAGTATTACACAGGAAGAATCACATCCTAGGTACAGATGGGGTCTCCTTTACCTGAAATGCTTGAGATTAGAGGTTTTTCAGGCTTTCTTCAGATTTTGGAATATCTGTATTTGCATATACATAGCAAATGAGGGAAATGGGGGGAAAGGTGGCTAGTCACACATCCAGTGCCTGATGACTTTTAAGAAACCCAGAAAGGTGAATAACAACCACAACAACAACAACAACTTTATTCTTGTATCCCACCACCATCTCCCCAAAGGAACTCGGGGAGGCTTACACATGGGACAAGGAAGAAGGGGAAGAAGAGAGGTGGCTAGTCACACATCCAGTGCCTGATGACTTTTAAGAAACCCAGAAAGGTGAATAACAAAGGTGAATAACAACAACAGCCACAACAACAACAACTTTATTCTTGTATCCCACCACCATCTCCCCAAAGGAACTCGGGGAGGCTTACATACGGGACAAGGAAGAAGGAGAAGGAGAGAGGTGGCTAGTCACACATCCAGTGCCTGATGAGTTTTAAGAAACCCAGAAAGGTGAATAACAAAGGTGAATAACAACAACAACCACCACAACAACAACTTTATTCTTGTATCCCACCACCATCTRCCCAAAGGGACTCGGGGAGGCTTACACACGGGACAAGGAAGAAGGGGAAGGAGAGAGGTGGCTAGTCACACATCCAGTGCCTGATGAGTTTTTAGAAACCCAGAAAGGTGAATAACAAAGGTGAATAARAACAACAATAACAACAACAACAACAACAGCTTTATTCTTGTATCCCACCACCACCTCCCCAAAGGACTCAGGAAGGCTTACACACGGCACAAGGAAGAAGAGGAAGGAGAGAGGTAGCTAGTCACACATCCAGTGCCTGATGACTTTTAAGAAACCCAGAAAGGTGAATAACAACAACAACAACCACAACAACAACAACAACAACTTTATTCTTGTATCCCACCACCATCTCCCCAAAGGAACCCGGGAAGGCTTACACACAGCACAAGGAAGAAGGAGAAGGAGAGAGGTGGCTAGTCACACATCCAGTGCCTGATGAGTTTTAAGAAACCCAGAAAGGTGAATAACAAAGGTGAATAACAACAACAACCACCACCACAACAACTTTATTCTTGTATCCCACCACCACCTCCCCAAAGGACTCGGGAAGGCTTTACACACGGCACAAGGAAGAAGGGGAAGGAGAGAAGGCACCTGTAAAAAGTAAATGATCCCCTGGTGGTCAGCACACTTTTTGTCCTTTTAGCAAAGTAGCAGGAAAGCAATGGGGTTGCTTCCCGCTTCCCTTCATTGCCTTGTTTCCAGGGCACCCACCACCATGCGCCATGTGTGACTAGCCCCCTTTCCCCAAAGGTGGAATTGGTGGTAAAAGGTTTCTGCTTTTTAGAGTATTTCAAATTGCCACGTAAGGGAGACTCAACCTGTACTTATACCTAGAATTGCATCATGACAAAGTATTACAAGCAAGTTATACAAATGCAACTTTCTGACCTTTGTTTCTCCGAGGAAGTCTTTGTATTCCTTCAACAATCTTTGGTTTCTAAACAAATCTGTGAAAAATATGTTAGCAGCGGGTATTACTTATAAAAGAAGAGGGAAGGAGAATTTCAGATTCTTTTGTGGACAACAAACAAAAATATGCAGTGTTCAAATCTTACATGACAACTTCTAGGCCAGAACAATCTTTTAAAAAGTTGCTGCTGTGCATAGAATATAAGTAGATTCAGAGCTGGGATTGGTTGCTAATCTACAATAAATGCACAACCCAACAAACACGCAAGCTTTCCTTTCAACAAAGGTATGAATTGTAGATCTGAAAGGGATTTTTACAACACTCAGTCAAAACAGAAACTAATGTGTGGGGTAGAACTATAGTACTCTTGAGAGTTGGCCACTCAGCTTCTACTTAATTTTCTCCACTAAAGGTGAGACATGTTCTGATGTTGTCTGTTTTATAGCAACTACCATTAAGACGTTGATGTTAATATTAACTCAAAACCTTTTTCTTGCCATTACCAGTTATCCTATTTTCTTAAAGCAACAAGAAAAAAGGAGGGTGCAGCCGTTACACAGTGAAATGCAGTATTAACTATCTCCTATAGCATTCTACACTTACTTTCTCTGTACTCAATCTCTGCTTCTTTACGCCTTTTTCTCTCTTGAGCAAGAGCTTCTGGACTTCCCCAGACCTCTAAAGACCTATAATCAAGAATTCAAAAGTAAACACACACACAATTCTATTTATTCATACGACTAAAATACTGTGAAACAATATACCTCCTGTTTTCTGATTATTTTAATTCTGAAATACAGTCAGTATCATATAACCCCCAGATCCATAGAACCAGCACCCGCAGTTTCATTTACCTACATTTGATAAAACAAATCCTTTCCAGGCATTTCCTAAGTCCTCCAGCATGACGTCAGGGTATGCTTCTGTGAGAAGTTGACCAGTTAGAATGAAAGATCTAGCCATACCTACAGATGTGTCCTTTCTAGACATTTCCTAGGTCTTTCAGCACAATTCTATAGTAGTGATGCTGGGGAAAATGGAAGGAAAAAGGAAGAGGGGCCAACTAAGGGCAAGATGGATGGATGGCATCCTTGAAGTGACTAGATTGACCTTGAAGGAACTGGGGGTGGTGACGGCCGACAGGGAGCTCTGGTGTGGGCTGGTCCACAAGGTCACGAAGAGTCGGAAACAACTGAACGAATGAACAACAACATAGTATGCTACCCTGGAAGTTGTTCATTCAATAGGATTCACTTTTAGCCATAATTTTTGCTAACTGCAGTAAATCTGATAACATATCCATGCAGATAAATGGATCGTTCTGTATATAAAAACTTTAAAATGCTGTTAAATACAGTGATATATTGACACATGAGGTAATTAAACGTCCAAAATCACACAGTGGGAGGCCATGAAGGCCGTAATGAGAGGCTATCTGATGCAACAAGAATCCATCAGAAAAGCAATTAACAACAAACCAAAAAAACAAACCAAAAAAATTTGGGAAGAAATAGGGAAGTGCGAACAATTGCTAAAAACAAACCCTAATGACCAAAAAACAAGACTAAACTTAGAGATACTAAAAAAACAACTGACGCTACTAGAGACTGAGAAACTAGAAAAACAAATGAAATATATGAAAGTGAATCACTGTTAAATACAGTGATATATTGACACGAGTTTAATTTGTTCTGTGACCAAGTTCGTAACTTGTATGTCAAAGCAAATTTTCACATTGAAATGCACTGAAATACTATTAATCCTTTCCAGAGCTCAGTCATAGAAGAAATTAAACCAATTTGCCAAGGTCACATGGGGTTAACAGAGTTCAGGGGCTTCAGCCAGTCCTTCCATCTTTCTTTTCCTCCTCCCTATCTGAGCAGCTCCCTCTCGGCCTCCCCACCACTGTCCACCCTTCAGAGGCAGAGACTGAGAGAAATGAGGTCTTGAGTCGCAAGAAGAAGAACAAGAAGAACAAGAAGGAGGGGGAGGAAGAGGAGGAGAAGAAGACGAAGAAGAAGAAGTAGTAGTAGTAGTAGTATTTTATTTTCTACTCCGCCTCCATCTCCCTGAGGGGACTCGGGGCAGCTTACACAGGGCCAAGCCCAAGGCAACATACAATTAAAAACAGAACAATAACATATTAAAATAGCATAAAAACAGCATCATAAGCAACAACAGACTCATTTTTCTGGAGGGAAGGGAGGGGGCCAATATGTAAAACTAGTTAAAGGATAGGCTGGTAAATAAGGTGGATAGAACATATAGTAGCACAGAAATAGAGCAATTAAACAAGATCATTAGGGCCCCTTCCCTCCTCCCTTCCTCCTCCCTCCCTCTTTGAAAGCTTGGCCCTGCCTCATTCTCCCACCTCAACCGCCATCTTGGATGGGGCATGTAACTCAGATCTGGCTCACATGTCAAATAAAAAAATTGGATGAAGGTAACTCATGAGTTGAAAAGCTCGTAAGTAGGGACGTTTGTAAGTTGAGGTGCCACTGTATGGACAAAGTAACCCAAGCTGAAATAGGCTCCAACTAAGTATAAATGGAAGTGAACTGCCATACAGTAATATGGACTGTAATCTCAACATAAATCCGTAATAACCTCCAACGACATAGTGAATGGACTACCACAAAAAGGTAGATAAAATGGGAAAGTGATAGAAGTTTCAAACTATACTTTGGAGAACTACTTTTTTCAAACTTGTGCTTACTTGGCCTCCACATCTGCTCTCAAAAACACCGTGAAAGCTTCTGTGTCATCATGAGGGCTTCGTCGTCTGATTTTCCTGAGCTGATCTAAGTCACTGTTGAAAGACAGAAAGAGGTGCTTGAAAGGAAAGAAAAAGCACGGCTGCAAACAACTTAAAACCATGGTTTATCTGCTGTTGATCTGGTAACAGAAACCAAAGAATGGTTCTGAACCATGCTTAGCACAAACCATGATTTGGTATGCTCCCTGAAGTAAGCATTTCTCTTGTACACACACAAGTATCTATATAGTGAATAAACACACTCAATTTGTGTGAACTATAATCAATTGATTGAATACTTCTTCTTTAACTCTACTATCTTTTGTACTGAACATTAGCAACATTACAGCCATTTCTGACTCCCCGGACTGTCTAATAAGCACACGTACAGTGGGCGGCGGGGGGGGGGGGGGGGTATTTAGTCAGATACCAATTGTACAAGTTCTCCCACTTAAAAAGATGAAAGAGGCCTCATAGGTATGACATCATAGGTAGACCTCAACTATGAGAGACAACATGAGAAAACACATCCAGAAAATCGCATTGTCTGATTTTTAACAAATTTATTTGCAAATTATGGTGGAAAATAAGTATTTGGTCACCTACAAACAAGCAAGATTTCTGGGTCTCACAGACCTGTAACTTCTGCTTTAAGAGGATCCTCTATCCTGTAGTAATGGCACGTATTTGAACTTGTTAACAATATAAAAGACACCTGTCCACAACCTCAAGCAATCACGCTCCAGTCTCCAGTTCTCAATCCTATAGAAAACCTTTGGAGGGAGTTGAAAGTCCGTGTTGCCCAGCGACAGCCCCAAAACATCACTGCTCTTGAGGAGATCTGCATGGAGGGATGGGCCAACATACCAGCAGCAGTGTGTGCCAACCTTGTGAGGACTTACAGAAAATGTTTGACCTCTGCCACTGCCAATAAAGTATTGAGGTGAACTTTTGTTATGGGCCAAATACTTATTTTTCACCATAATTTGCAAATAAATTCATTCAAAATCAGACAATTTTCTGGATGTGTTTTCTCATGTTGTCTCTCATAGTTGAGGTCTACCTATGATGTCAATTACAGACCTCTCTCATGTTTTTAAGTGGGAGAACTTGTACAATTGGTATCTGACTACATACTTTTTTCCCCCCACTCTAGTCTGAAATGGACATTTGGTGTCTCTGGAAAATGCAGTTTGGTCCTCCTAGAGTCACTGGACTATAAATCCCAATATAACTAACCATTGACTATACTAACTAGGGTTTGATGGAAGCTGCAATCCGACAACATTTGAAAAGACACAACATGAAAAACCCTAAACAGTATTATTGCTTCTTTCATTACTTGCTGGCTAGCACATTAAGACAACTAGAAGCTACTTCATTCTAATTTTTAAATTTGCAACAATCCTACCTGGACTTAAGACAGAATTCATTGATCGCTCTGACACCGGTGATGAAATTATTCTTCATGTACTTTGGTCCATATTCTCTCTTTTTGAGCACAGCTTTCACTTTAAAAATTAAAACATTACAATCAGTTTTCAAAGTCACCACAAGATCTCTCTACAGTGGAGGTGCCAACGCATGCAGGACTTTGGGTATTCACAGAGATGTTTTCAAACCTCAAAATTAGTGAACATGCATTTTTTGTCGTTGGCATGAAATGCACCACACATGACAACAGAATAGCATAATAACAGCCAATTATATATTTAATAAGGTAATTATAGTCTGGTAACAAACTAAATACATACTCTCAGCTAGCGGAGACATGATAATTATCTGTTAAAGTGGCAACGTATAGACTGTACTTATATGAAATTGTTAATCAGGATTCTGGAGAATCTAACCTTACTATGATCTAGTTTCATGCTGCTTTTCCCCAAATGGCTCCTCCCACTGCTGTGAGTGGCTAAACAAACAAAAAATGGGTTGCTGTGAGTTTTTTGGGCTGTATAGCCATGCTCCAGAAGCATTCTCTCCCGACGTCCTCCCGGCGTCTATGGCAGCCATCCTCAGAGGTTGTGAGGTCTGTTGGAAACTAGGCAAGTGAGGTTTATATATCTGTGGAATGTCCAGGGTGGGAGAAATAACTCTTGTCTGTTTGAGACAAGTGTGAACGTTGCAACTGGCCACCTTAATTAGCATTTAATGGCCTTGAAGCTTCAAAACCTGGCTGTTTCTTGCCTGGGGGAATCCTTTGTTGGGAGGTGTTAGCTGGCCCTGATTGGTGCATATCTGGATTTCCCATTTTTTGCATGTTGCTCTTTATTTACTGATGATTTTAGAGCTTTTTAGTACTGGTACCCAGATTTTGTACATTTTCATGGTTTCCTCCTTTCTGTTGAAATTGTCCACATGCTTGTAGACACCTCCTAACAAAGGATCCCCCAGGCAGCAAGCAGACAAGCTTTGAAGCTGCAAGGCCATTCAATGCTAATCAAGGTGGCTAATTGCAACATTCACCCTTCCCTCAAATGGACAAGAGTTCTTTCTCCCACCCTGGACATTATTCCACAGATATATAAACCTCACTAGCCTAGTTTCCGAAAGACCTCACAATCTCTGAGGATGCCTGCCATAGATATGCGTAAAAAATCAGAAGAAAATGTTTCTGGAACATGGCTATACAGCTCGGAAAACTCACAGCAACCCAGTGATTCAAGCCATGAAAGCCTGCTACTACTGCTGCTGCTGCTGCTGCTACTACTACTACAGGGTGAGGCAGGATAACTTCCTTTTTTAAAATGCGCGCCATTCAGTCGGTTGAAGACGTAGCGGAGCGCTAGTGGTCTCGTTCAAGAGGTGGGAGTATAACGTTTTGTCCTGACACAGTTCAGTCGCCATCATGCGTTGGAACAGTGGGGAGCGTGCTTTTGCTGTTGAGGCCTACTTTTCGAGCGGATTTGGAGTGGCCGGCCCACTCTCCAGATCTTGCCCCTTGTGATTTTCTCTATGGGGTTTTATGAAATTCCGTGTTTATGTGAACCGTCCAAGGACCCTACAAGATTTGAAGACCAACATCCAGGAAGAAATTGCCAACATAACGCCTGCTATGCTGGCAAGAGTCATGACAAACGCCAGAAATCAGTTTACTTAGTGTATGGAGAATGGAGAATGGGGGGCGTCACCTACCTAATTTGATCTTTAAAACTACGTAAAACAAAACTTAAGGTATGTCTCTGCATTATAAAAAAAATGAAAAAAAAATCTTATTCATACAATGGGTTTTATTAAGTTTTGAAAAAAGGAAGTTATGCTGCCTCACCCTGTATTTTTGAGAACTAAAGGGGCTCACATTTAAAAGGCATTACAATTAAAAACACACAAAAGGGAAATACTAAAATGGAACTAGATTTGTACAATTACAAAAGCAAAATACGATCAAAATAAACAAATAAATACATTTTTAAAAGTTCATCCAACCAATGCCCCTGGCCTGTAATTTACATTTTTTTCTGTTTGAACAGCAGTAAGCCAATATTCCACCAAACTAGGGTTTGAACAACAGACTTAATATTGAAGTAAGCAATTTCCAGGCAGAGGACGCATCTAATAGTATATACTTCATGTACAGGATTATTTTTTAGATTTGTTTCGGGCTCAAAATGGTTAGTAAAGCCTGATAACTCATCAAATTGTGACTTTTTGTGTAATTGCCAACAATGTGATGCGGTGGCAAAAGAGCCAATGGGATTTTGGCCTGCATCAATAGGAGTATAGTGTCTATATCCAGGGAAGTCATGCTACCCCTCTATTCTGCCTTGGTTAGACCACACCTGGAATATTGTGTCCAATTCTGGGCACCACAATTGAAGGGAGACGTTGACAAGTTGAAATATGTCTAGAGGAGGGCGACTAAAATGATCAAGGGTCTGGAGAACAAGCCCTATGAGGAGCAGCTTAAAGAGCTGGGCATGTTTAGCCTGAAGACGAGAAGTCTGAGAGGAGACATGATAAATATGTGAGAGGAAGTAATAGGGAGGAGGGAACAAGCTTGTTTTCTGCTGCTCTGGAGACTAGGACGTGGAACAACAACAACAACAATAATCTTTATTTATACCCCACCACCATCTCCCCAATGGGGACTCGGAGCGGCTTACATGAGGCCAAGCCCAAACAGCAAATTACAATAAAATAAAACCGAAAACGCAAACAATAAACAAACAACATAATTACATAAAACATATGAAAACGTAGCAATATAAAATTACAATAGGCACAATCACAATGACAATGGGCGGGATACATGTAATGATTAAAAGAGAGACTGATTAAAACTAAAACTCAGGTGAGATAAGAGAGAGACAAATTATTTGCGGAGGAGGACTCATGATAGTGGGGGTTGTGTAATCAGGCTTTCCCACAAAGGGGGGGGGACATATACTCCAATGACAAAACGTTGAGGCTAAGCAATAGTGTGAGAATGTAAACCTATTCATCAAAAGCGCAGCGGACGAGCAAGGTTTTAAGGTCCTTTTTAAAGGTTTCTAAGGTAGGGGCTTTCCTAATTTCTCCAGGTAGTGAGTTCCAGAGTCAGGGGGGGGGGGGGCACAGAGGAAAAAGCTCTCTCCCTTGTACTTATAGGCGAGCTTGTGAAATTGGCAGGGGCGAAAGAAGGGCCTCCCCAGAAGAACGGAGGGCCCGAGTTGGTTCATGGAGGGAGATATGGCTTCAAACTACAAGAAAGAAGCGTCCATCTGAACATTAGGAAGACTGTGAGAACCGTTCAGCAGTTGAACTCTCTGCCCCGGAGTGTAGTGGAGGCTCCTTCTTTGGAAGCTTTTAAACAGAGGCTGGATGGCCATCTGTCGGGGGTGATTTGAATGCAACATTCCTGCTTTTTGGCAGGGGGTTAGACTGGATGGCCCATCAGGTCTCTTCCAACTCTATGATTCTATGTTTCAATTAATTGCCACATGTTGCCATTGTGGGAATACACTGAAAGTGGGCCCACTTTTTTTGAAAACCCTGTATAGGAGTCAATTTGTGCTTTATAAACCTAGACAGGAGAGCAAAAGTGCATGTTTTCAACACCTGCTTTCCATTTGGCACAGCATCTGTTGTAGCTTTACTCAAAGTGTTCAAAGAGAACCTATGCAAACTTTCATTCATTGGCACACATTCGTACTGTAAAGTTATGTTTATAATTACCTTTTACATGAATTGGTTGTTGCAACAAAGGTAGTGTCTGACTGCCAGCATCCCGGGCTGTAAAAAAAGTGGAGGAATCCAGAAATTCATTTGAAATTCAAAACATCAGAAAGTCATTTGGACAAAATTTTCGGACAAGCTTAGAAAATAAATTTAAAATCCAGCTAAAATATACACCTCTTAAAGAATATGCTACTGCCAATTATTTCAACGGCAGGTAATATTTTTAACAGGAAACTGTACTCTGCAAATTAACTGGCTGTATGGAAAGGGGCAATTTCAAATTTCCCTTTCACTTCCTTCATGTATGTCCTTCCCCCAGTATTTCACCATTCTTTAGCACTAATCGCAAATTGCAATCTCTCTTATCTCCCCTTTATTCACCTAAAAGAAACAAGACCTGCCTTTCTATTTTGTTTCCGTCCTCTGGAATTAGATGAAGGCAGAACAAGAAAATTGATAAACGATTATGAAGATTAGCTGTAGAAAGGAAGGAAGGGAAATGTGGAGTGGATTTATTTGAGGGGAAAGGAGAAGACGGCTGACTAGCTTTTCAGGCTTAGTGGGTTGCTGTGAGTTTTCCGGACTGTATGGCCATGTTCCAGAAGCATTCTCTACTGATGTTTCACCCACAACTATGGCAGGCTTCCTCAGAGGTTGTGAGGTCTCTGTGAACTCCACGGATGCCTGCCATTTATGTGAGAGAATGCTTCTAGAACATGGCCATACAGTCCGGAAAATTCACAGCAACCCAGTGAATCCGGACATGAAAACCTTTGACAACACGTATTCAAGTTTAGTTTTTAAAACAGATGTTTGGTGTGCTATGCTGGAACCTGCTATTAAAAATTGAGAAATATTAATTTTCTGAACAAGCATCTAGGCTGATTAGAACAATTACATTTGTGCCCTTATCTATAGTTCTATGTGATACAGGCTACTACCATATACCACATTTATTTATTTATTTGTTTGTTTGTTTGCTGTATTTGTATACCGCCTTTCTCAGCCTATCGGCGACTCAAGGCGGTTTCCAACAAAACAGTATACATAGTACACTCCACTTGTATTGCCACTATAGTCATGTTGTTCATTCGTTCAGTCGCTTCCAACTCTTCGTGACCTCATGGACCAGCCCACGCCAGAGCTCCCTGCCCGCCGTCACCACCCCCAGCTCCTTCAAGGTCAAGCCATTCATTTCAAGGATACCATCCATCCATCTTGCGCTTGTTCGGCCCCTCTTCCTTTTTCCTTCCATTTTCCCCAGCATAATTGTCTTCTCTAACATTACAATTACATAAACCACAGCAACAGTAAAAACAACATTATTGGTGTCTCCTTATTGTCAAGCATTGTCCGATTCCATCATGTCATCAATTTCCTATATCATTTATCCATATCCATTACTCTGTGTTTGTGAATGCTTGCTCAAACAACCACGTTTTGACTTGCTTCCGAAACGTTAAGAGGGAAGGAGCAGATCTAATCTCTCTAGGGAAGGCATTCCATAGCCGGGGGCCACTGCTGAAAAGGCCCTGTCTCTCGTCCCCGCCAAGCATACCTGTGACGAAGGCGGGACCGAGAGCAGAGCCTCTCCGGACGATCTCAAGGTTCTAGATGGTTCATAAGAGGAGATACGTTCGGACAGGTAAGTTGGGCCAGAACCGTTTAGGGCTTTAAAGGTTAAAACCAGCACTTTGAATTGTGCCCGGTAGCAAAACTGGCAGCCAGTGGAGCTGGCGCAACAGGGGGGTTGTATGCTCCCTGAGAGCTGCTCCAGTTAGCAATCTGGCTGCTGTCCGTTGGACCAGTTGAAGCTTCCGGACAGTCTTCAGAGGCAACCCCATATAGAGTGTTGCAGTAGTCTATACGGGACGTAACGAGAGCGTGGACTACCGTGGCCAAGTCAGACTTCCCAAGGTACGGGCGCAGCTGGCGCACAAGCTTTAATTGCGCAAATGCTCCCCTGGTCACCGCCGAGACCTGGGGTTCCAGGCTCATATACTCATGTATGCGTCAATATTTTTTTTTCACAAAAATCAGCCTCCAAAACCTTGGTCAACTTATATATAAGCCAATGCTGGAATAAGGACCCAGTACAAAACTAGGAAGGAAGATATCCTCTCCTTCCCTGTAGCTTTTCCTAACTATGCTTTGCTAGTTCATGTTAGCCCAGTTACTATCACTGGCCACACAATCAATCCACACAACTTTGTGAACAATAGTTGGCTTCTGTAAATTAATGTGGATGTTTTATGTTCAGATTTTATGTCATTATGTAATTTTTGTTTGATTATGCTTAGTTTAATTTATTGATGTTAGGTTCTAATGTTGTTTTTATATGTGAAGTTTTTCTGGGATTATTATGTCGGTACTTGTTTGTTCTATGGAGTCATTGGTAGGTAGGTAGGGAAATTTTATTATGGTCCAGAGACCTTTATTACACTGCAGCATACAAGTTATACAGGTAATGAAATGAGGAATATCCTATGGGTAAAATTTGCAAACAGTAAAAGCTGCTTAAAATGCATGTTGGCTAAAAACAAGGGTAAAAAGCTATGGAGGCATTGAATGTTTGCCATTATATGTCGGAATCTGCCCTAAGTCCCCCGTGGAGTTAGGGCGCAATATAAATATATTATTATTATTATTATTATTATTATTATTATTATTATTATTATTATTATTTCCTCTGCTTTTTTTAAAAAAAAATAAACATATTTGATCCTAAATTTTACCCTTGAGTTTTTCACAGATCCCCAGGCCTGCCTTCAACTTATACGAAGATCAACTTATAGCTGAGTAAATCCAAATCTCTTTGAATTCTGCACACAGTCAGGGACACTTTTATGATACTTTCAGTGGCTAGTACAAACAACAACAACAACAACTTTATTTGTATTCCACCCTATCTCTCAGGGGAGATTCCAACATACAATAGCAAATGATTCTTGTCTCCTCATTCCCCTGGTCATATGCCCATATTTATTTTTCCAAATACGCTTTCTTTTTATACAAGGTGAGGCAGCATAACTTCCTTTTTTAAAATGATCGCCATTTAGTCGGTTGAAGATGCAGCAGAGTGTTAGTGGTCTCATTCGAGAGGCAGGAGTATAAAGTTTTGTCCTGACACAGTTCAGTCGCCATCATGCAGTTATCATTTAGTGTGCCATCATTAGGCACACACTAAGGAGACCCTAAACAACTTCAAAAAGGCACCAAATGTGCAAAATGACCACTGGCACACACTAAAGAGGGCCTGAACAACTTCAAAAAGGAAAAAATGGGCACAGTGGCCCCTGGCACACACTAAGGAGACCCTAAGCAACTTCTAAAAGGCACCAAATTGGCAAAGTGACCACTGGCACACACTAAAGAGGGCCTGAACAACTTCAAAAAGGAAAAAATGGGCACAGTGGCCCCTGGCACACACTAAGGAGACCCTAAGCAACTTCTAAAAGGCACCAAATTGGCAAAGTGACCCCTGGCGCACACTAAAGAGGGCCTAAACAACTTCAGAAAGGCAACAAATGACAGTGAGGAGCATGCTTTTGCCATTGAGGCCTACTTTTCGAGCGGATTTGGAGTGGCTGGACCGCTCTTCAGATTTGGCCACTTGTGATCTTTTTCTATGGGGTTTTTTGAAATCCCATGTTTATGTGAACCGTCCAAGGACCCTACAAGATTTGAAGACCAACATCCAGGAAGAAACTGCCAACGTAACGCCTGCTATGCTGGCAAGAGTCATGACAAACGTGTATGGAGAATGGGGGATGTCACCTACCTAATTTGATCTTCAAAACTTCATTTAAAAAACGTCATAAAACAAAACAAAACTAATGCGCCTACATTATAAAAAAAATTTGACTCATACAATGGGTTTTACTCAGTTTTGAAAAAAGGAAGTTATGCTGCCTCACCCTGTATATGGGCCTTTGGCTATACAGTTTAAAAAGCCATTTCCCATATACATGCAGTCCCCAAATTATGAACACAATAGGTTCTATAGGCTTGTTCTTAAGCTGAATTTGTTTGTAGGTGTAACTCCAGTCAAAAATATTTTTTTCCACTTTGTATGGCGTAGGAAATGGTTAACATCCCTGTGGTGTTTATTTTGCTATCTGTTCTGCTGTCCATAAAATTTTCACCTCACTTTCTGTCCCTGTGAGAATTGAATTTTGGAAAATTTGAATACAATTCTGAAATACTCTGTTGCTAGCCATAACATGAACCAACCCAAGTTAAGGACCTTGGTGTTCCAGTGGTTTCCCTGGGAAATATTCGACACAAATACATGTTTTTCCTTTGGACAATGTTGTTGTTCATTCGTTCAATTGTCTCCGACTCTTCGTGACCTCATGGACCAGCCCACGCCAGAGCTCCCTGTCGGCCGTCACCACCCCCAGCTCCTTCAAGGTCAGTCCAGTCACTTCAAGGATTCCGTCCATCCATCTTGCCCTTGGTTGGCCCCTCTTCCTTTACCTTCCACTTTCCCCAGCATCATTGTCTTCTCTAGGCTTTGCTGTCTCCTCATGATGTGGCCAAAGTACTTCAGCTTTGTCTCTAGTATCCTTCCCTCCAATGAGCAGTCGGGCTTTATTTCCTGGAGGATGGACTGGTTGGATCTTCTCACAGTCCAAGGCACTCTCAGAACTGGACAATGTGGTTTTAATTAAATGCATCAATAGACTCAAGTCCTTATGACTTCAATAACAGCAGCTTATATGTAGCTGCTTTATTCTCTAGGGTTGGATGCTTGCCATACATCCGCTACCAGTAAATTGAAACTAATTTTATTGAAACTGGAGGCATTAGAGTTGCCCCTCCAAGCTCAACTGTACATGGTTATGGTTTTTTTTCCTAATAGAAACCTTGGTGCAAGTTATGAATTATTCAAAACTTAAGCACTTGATCTATACAACGTACGTCTTTAGTTAAGCAATTTGTTCCTTCCTTTAGTTTAAAAAATGGGTAGGCATAATTTACTTTAGCTCTTTAAGAGAGAAGGAAGCTCGAAAAAATGGCTTTGCATTTTATAATGCAAGACTTAATAAATA